CTCCGTTGCCCATTTTAGAACTTTAGGAATTAGTTCTTGACCCGCAGTAGGTCTCTTAATGAAAAGTTTTACAGTGGCTGTTAACAATGACAATTGAACCTATATTTATAGTTTTTTTTTTTTTTTTTAAAAAAAAAAAAAAGTTAAACATCGATCTGGATGATTTGGATAAAAAGCTTAAATATATATATATTTTTTATTAATACCTCTACAGGTTCTTCAAGGAATGTAAAAAGAAAATCATCTAATAATACATCAGAATTCTCAATCCGATCAGCATATTGACCAATAATCCATATCATTGCTGCTTTTGCTTCAGGTTCGTCTAGATTATCTAAATTCTCACATAAAGTACCAATTATACTCTCATATTGATTTGGATATTTTCGAAATATGTCCTATATAATTAATTAATATTATTTGATGAATGAATTTTTTAAAATAATATAAGGCAGAGTGAGTCATACCTTTATGACTACAATAGCCTCTTGAACAACATAATTGACTTTCGTCTGTATAAGTTCTAATAACGCATCTATACAACGTTCAGCCGTTGATTCTATTTTGACTGCCAGGCGCCCAATTGAGCGAACAGACTTCCTGACAAAGTCTACATCAACTTCGGTTGAATATCTGATTTAAAAAAATATATAAACCTATAATTAGATTTAAAAGTATTAAGTGTGTGTTTAAATTAATTTTGATATTTATAACTAACTCTTTTAGTTCAGATAGAACTTGGTCAACATTAGAGACATTAGCTAAACGAAACATTATTTCAAGTTTAGCCAATTTGACATATATTGGGTCATTGTATTTACAAAAGAAGACCTTCACATCATTCCTTAAAACTTCTGGTCTTCGTTGGATAATTAAAAGAATATTACGAAGAGCCACATATTGGACTTCAGGTCCACTTGAAAGTAGGGTAACTATATTAAAAAACATGTTAACCGCTTCATGTATTGTATTTCATATGTTTCATATTATAATTGCATAATAATAATAATAATAATAATAACCTAATGGTGGAGACAATTTTCGACACATGTTTGCTATGTCTTCCTCTTTGGTCATATAATTCATTAAGTACATAATTACTTTGACAGCTGTAAGAACAACACTCGAATTGGCGTGTTGCAGTCGTGGTGCGATGCGTTCACATAGTAATTCGGCATCACCAATTTCTTGAGGAACATATGACATTATTGCTTCCAATATGTAAGTTTGGCCCCACCTACATTAGTAATTATAATGTCTAAATATTTATATACATGACTTTTGTTCGAGAAAATCAAATATCTT